AACCAACTCGCCATGAAGCCCACCGGCCACAAACACAATAGAGAAACCGAGACAAAGAAACAAAAACGGGCCATACCTTCAATTGACCCGGCCTAGAGTCAAAACAGGAGGAAGGCACTATCGCTCGCCGCTTCGCCGGCGAAAAGGCACAGCTCTGACCGACGACGAGAAGGGCGAAAAGAGGGGAAAACGTTCCAGCAGCCCAGCCAAAAATGAGAGCAACCAACCTTTCCTCGTCCATGAACCCACACCACATCTCGACCACCGCCGTCCAATTTTGAGCTCCGGCAACCAACAAAGCAAGAAGACCTACCCGCTGAACGAATCGCGAAGCCAGAAGAGAAGCAGCAAAAATGGGGAAAGGCTGCACCGCCATGGACGAGCGACGGAGGCTGTCCACTTCTAGCCCCAGATCCGTTTGTTTGAAATAATTTTTTATTTTATGTTTTATTATATGAATGAGTTTGATTATTTACGAGCTGAATTGAGTTGTACATCCTAACAAATCGGCTCTAGGAGCCCAGAGTGAAAAAATATTTTTGGCTACGCCCCTGTGTCAATTGACCCTGTGCCAATTAATGATGTGTTTTGAATAGTCATGATAGCTTTAGTGTTATGAATATATTTTGAAGTTTAGTCATTTTTGTTTTTATTATCAATTTTTTATATATAAAAAATTAATTAATAATCATTTCGCTTTAGTGTTGTGAATATATTTTAAAATTTAATCAATTTTTGTTTTGATTATCAATTTTTTATATAAAATAAATTAATTAATAGTCATTTAATGACATTTGATTTGATATTTATATTGTGTAAACAAAATAAAAAAAATAACTCTAATTAATTAAATAAAATTATTTATAAGTAAGTGTACAACATAAGTTTAAATTATTATAATATAATATGTAATGTTAGATAAAAAATAATTATACCTTTTGACCCATATTTGACATATTACATTTATAAAAACATGAAAAATCATTAAAAAATATTAACCCTTGTTCGAGCAGCCCACGCAAGATCAGAACACGATTGCTTTGGATTTCAGATACTCAGTTGTTATTGGGATATGACCGTCTCGTTGGAATCTTAAGTGTCTGGTTCATGCAATGGTTTCTGCCAGCCACATTGCGATCTTTCGCAATATAGAAAGGTTAACACACTTAAAATACACATTATCTAACGCACCAAATTATGTTAAATAAAAAGGAAAACTGAAAATAAAGAATAATATTTAATTATTAGACTACAAATTTATAAATTAGAATTTGATTTTTTTAATTTTGGATATTAGATTTTTCATTCTACGTTAATATAATTTTTTGTATGTTGATATAAACACATAACGATCAAAATAGATGGCCGTAATCAACATCCCAGAATTATGTGATTGTTTGATATTATCCAAAGAAATAATTAAATTCACTATTTAGAAAAATACTAGAAGATGAATTAGGGATAGTTATGCAAATAATTGTGGACATTTTATGTAAATTGTTGTTGACAATTTAAAACAATTTGTCTTCCAAATTGAACAGCAAAAAGAATTCATAGCCTTTTAAATTGAGTTGTAAAAAATATTAACAATTTTAAGAGACACGAAACATCCTTATAGAAAATAAAAGAGAGAGAGAGAGAGAGAGCTCAGTTTTCAAGATCAACGAAACTGTATTTTTTTGTCCTATCCATTATCACTAATCATCATAGCCAATTTTAGGCCTATTGGGCCGCTTCTTCACTTGGGCCATTTTTTTGCAAAGGGA